ATATGATGGTGACAATTTAGTCTTTTGCATCACTTCTTACAGAGCATTTCTCTCTGCTCCAGCCACATCTTCAAACAGAACTGTAACACATTCTCTGTTATAGTCATATTTAATTTTTTTAGTATTATAGTTGCGTGTATTATTCATTGCCAAGGAAAACGGTGCATGGACTATACCTATATTTCTTTTAATAAATTTTTTCTTTTAATAATGTTCTATTTATGGAGTATCCCTTCCTGGTAACTTCTGTCTTCCTGCTCCAATTTTAACTAATTGTTCTCCTTGGCCATCTGCACAAGTGTGATACTGGAACTTCTTTTTGGGATCCTCTTGGGACTTCTCTCTCCTATGTTAAATCCCTGGTTTTTGGATCCCAAGAATCCTTATTTCTAGGTTTACTCCTTAATTTCGATAGAGCATTCCTCTACTGCTTACTTTTATTTTTAAAAAAGATATTATTTATTTGAGAGAGAGAGTGAGCAAGAGAGAGAGAACATGAGCACAAGTGGGGGGAGAGGGAGAAGAAGATTTTCTACTGAGCAGGGAACCCAATAAAGGACTTGATCCCAGGACCTTGGGATCATGACCTGAGCTGAAGACAGATGCTTAACTGACTGAGCCACCTAGGTGCCCCAGCTTCTACCACTTTCTGAGAAAAGGAGTATGAGAAGTAAACAAAACTTTTTGTATAGAGCTTATATAAAGTTCTTTTGAGCTCCCATGTATCTTAAAATATGTTTATTTTACCCTTTTACTTGATTGACAATTTGGCTAGATACAGAATTCTAAGTTGGACATGTTTTCCTTCAGAAGTTGTAATGCAATGCTCCATTATCCTCTAGCCTCTGATGTTGCTACTGAATTTCAGTATCAAATTGAATGTGAGCCCCCTCCCTTTTATTTTTTTTTAATTTCAGGAAGATTTTAGGATATTCCTTTTATTCTCAGTGTTCTAAAATTTTATAATGGTATGTCCTGACACAGGTCTGTTTTCATGTTGTATTGGTCATTCAGTGGATCCTTCTATTCTGAAAACAAATGTCCTTCAACTCTGAGAATTTCTGTTGTACTATTACTTTGGTTTTTTCCCCTTATCTCTCTTAGCCCTTAAATTTCGGAATTAAGATCTTAGATCTGCTGGATGGATCCTGTAATTTTCTTATTTTTTCTATTTTCCTTTCCTTTGCTTCTTTGTTCTGCTTTCTGTTCCCTAAACACCTTTCTATGGCATTCTATTCTTGTTTTATGTTTATTAATGTTTATGTCATGTTTCCTCAGTTCATTAACAGAATGGAGAAGTCACATTTAAGCAGATTTTTTAAAAAGATGGTGAGAGGCTTGTCTCCATATCCACTGAAACATAACAAAGTAAAACAGCCTGAAGATACATGATGAGTAATATTTTACATAGAGGGGAATCAAAGTAGGGTGGACACCTAGGGTTTGGTCTGCTCTCCCTTCTCCTTTTGAAAACTATTCCCCTTTCCACAGTCATGGTTCCATCAGTACCTACCATGATATATGACTTTCTCCACCTCTTATTTTAAACTAGTCTGGGATAGGGACCTGAGCCAAGGTAATTCAATCGCAGTTTTTCTCTGGGAAAGTTTTAAATTAAAACCAAGAAAAAGAGACCAGTATTTTTCTGGACACCTAAACCATAAGATATAGAAATTCACAGTTCTTAGGAACCATGCTTCCTGCCATGTGAACCTGAGAACCAGAGGGATTTTGTAGCAAAAACTAGCACAGATGCACAAGCAGATACACACAGAAAGGCAATTAGTGGAGAAGGAGTTAGAGTCTCAGAGGCATCAGGATCTGCTGTTCCTGAGCGAAGTCACATCTCTGTCCTGGGGATCTCAATATCCTCATTAAATTCTCCTTTGGCTTAAGCTAGTTTGAGTTGACCTCTCTTTCAATCATAGCAAAACCTTCCGAACGGATATGCCCTGTTTATTTGATGCTTTCTATGAACTAGACAATGTATTAATATTTCTATACTTTGTCCCATTGAATCTTCACAACAACCCGTGAAGTTGGTAAAGTTATTTTACACATGAAGAGGTTTACAAATCCAATTACTGTATAAGAGACACCACTATCTAGATGTTCCCTGGTATAAATCAGCATGTCAAAAACATACCATTTCTCCATCTATAATATGGGGAAAACTGTTCTCACTGCCTGAACTGCTCTTCTCCCTACATACTCCCACCCAACTCCTTCTATCTTGAGGTGTCATCTTAAATATTCTCAGAGAAGACTGTCCTGCCTACCCAATCTAAAATAGATTCCTCAATAACACCTTATTTTCTTCACCAACAATGTAATTATGCCATTAGTATTTTGTTTAGTTCTTTTTGTTTACACTCTCCTGTGCTAGACTTTGAAGTCCATGATGGCAGAGACTATACTAACATTGTTTGCTACCATAGCCCCTGCATCTAGCATAGTCCCTGGCACATGGAAAGTGTTCCATAAATGTGTTTGGATACATTAAATATTTCTAAGTATTTTCTTTTATGTACCTGTGAAGCAATAGTCAACAACTTTCAACACCTATTCTTGAGTGAGTAGAACATGCACGGCACTCTTCTAGGGCCTACTGAAACAAAGATACAAACAAAGATATGGTTTCTGTCCTACAGGGGTTCACAGTATAGCGAGAGACTCAAGTAATTATAACACAAGGGGAGAAGATTTATAACAGAGATATGAACAGGAGGAAATAATTGGGATATAATCCAGGAAGTTAAAGTGAGGAAAAGAAAGAAAGGAATCTCCAGGGTTGCCATTCAAATGGTTACATTCTTTATGTTTCTATTCCGATACAGCTTTTCCCCATAACCCCTTCCAATTTATAATATCTGGAGCAGAAGTGACAGTAAGTATCTTCTCAAGTAGTGGTATATGAAAACCAATTTTTTTTTTTTAAAAAACAGATTTTATTTATTTACTCATGAGAGACACACAGAGACATAGGCAGAGGGAGAAGCAGGCTCCCTGCGGGGAGCCTGATGTAGGACTTCCATCCCAGGGCCCCGGGATCATGACCTGAGCCAAAGGCAGACGCTAAACCGCTTAGGTGCCCCAAAACCATAATTTTCTTGAATCTTATGATTATCCCTATCATTTGGCTTGTCTTCATATCACTGTGCAAAGACACTGAGTCTAGCTGCCTGTGGTGGCTCAGGCTTCTCCAAAGAAGCCCAGGCCTGTATTATAGGTCAGGCTTTTTTTTTTCCCCTCCACACTACCAGATCTGCTTTCCTGATGCTGAGATTAGAGGACAATGGCTTTTGATCCCTTTTAGCACTCAAATAATAATGCTCTGTTACAACAGTGTCCCAAGTATTCTCATTACAATGTGTGGTTTCATGGACAATTACCTGTCTGATGCCTGTTTGCTTTCCCACTCATCTCTAACCCAGTAGTCCAGAAATGCAGATTAGGGGATATCCCTTTAGCTATGATCTAGAATAGGATTCATCTCTATCTCTCCTACATCTTTGTTACTTCTCAGGGACATTTCAAATCAAATCTTTCTTTGGGGTTTGCATGTGTATATGTGTGAGTGATCGGGGTTGATGTGAGGGAAAACAAACGGTTTTAGCAAATTATCATCATCACTAGTAAAACCTACAAAAGATGCAACAGGAAGAAAAATGTAGATAATATGTAACTGTGACCTTTTTAATCTCAGAATCTTAAATATTTAATACCATCATCATGTAGTTTTATCACTGGTCCTAGAAATGAGACCCCCCTCCTCAAAAAAAAAAAAAAAAGACTTTCCTAAAAAGACCCCACTGCAATGGAACAGACCAATAGAAAAAGTGTTGTCTAGTGTCCCGACTTCAAAGCACTATGAAATGAAAAATAAATGAAAGCATTTTCAAAAAGAAAGTATTTTCCCTTCAACCCCAAAGCTTGCTTCATTTATTGATTCATCAAATCTTAATTGGTACACACTGAAGAGGACAGCTTTGTATATTGGTTGAGAGCCCTAGCTCTGGCTGCAGATAGAATTCCATCTTTGCCATTTATTAGTTCAGTGTCCTTGGGCAAGTTACTTAGCTTTGTGTGCCTTAGTTCCCTTACCTGTAAAATGGATATAAATATTAGAATTATCTCACAGGGGACGCCTGGGTGGCTGAGTGGTTGAGCATCTGCCTTCGGCTCAGGGCGTGATCCTAGGGTCCAGGGATTGAGTCCCACATCGGGGAGCCTGCTTCTCCCTCTGCCTGTATCTCTGCCTCTCTCTGTGTGTCTCTCATGAAAAAGTAAATAAAATCTTAATAAAAAAAAAGGAATTATCTCACAGGATTTTCATTTTCATCAGAATTATGTATAGTGCATAAGAATATTTGACACCACATCAGTATAATTATTCTCAACCTTAATTTTCTTTCAGCCCTGAGGCCAATATCCAATATCTTTGGAGAGCACTGAAAAACCCTTGAAGTGAAGCTATTTGATCAAATCAAAACCTGAAGTCGAGTGCATCCTGCATCTCTAGAGGAGGCCGAGGAAGGTGGCTACCCTGACCAAGGAGGAGTCAGGCCTCCGGCACGGTCCGGGACGATCCTACTCCGCTGCCTCCCGGGAGCCCCGCAGAGCGCTGAAGTCTCGCAAACAGACGCCGCGGCAAATTGCAGCTCGCGGTCACCGCTGAGGTCCTCCGGGGGAGCTGCGGGCCCGCGGCGCCGCCGGCTCTCAGCCCCTACCTACCCCGGGACCTGCAACGCCCCCTTGCCCGCGGTTATCCCGCCCTCCTCCGCGGGCCCGCCGGTCCCCCCTCGGGGCTCGCTCCGCGCGCCGCTGCCCCAGCGCCCCGCGAGCCCCGCGGCGAGGCGGCGCGGGCCGCGGCACTGCGCATGCTCCCGAGCGCGCGGGTGGGGTGCCCGGGGCGGGCGGCGGGAGGCGGGGGGCGGGGGGGCGGGCGACGGGGGGCGGGCGCTGGGCGTGGGTCCCGCGCGCCCGGGGAGGCCTCCGCCTGTCGCGGGCCACGCAGCGGCGGGGGAGCGCGCTCGGGGCGGCGGCGTCCTGGAGCCCCCCGAGGGATGGAAGCGGCGGCGCCGGCGGCGGCCGAGGCGGCGGGGCGCGAGGAGCTCGGTGGGTGCGGCAGCAGCGCGGGGACTGGGCCGCGGGGCGCGGCGGGTCGGGCTCGGGCTCGGGGTCGGGCGCCGCGGCCGAGGCGGGGAGGCGGGCGGGCCCGGGGGCGCGGGGCTGGCGCGGGGCTGGCGCGAGGCTGGCGCGGGGCCGCCGCGTTCCTGGCCGGGGCCCTCGGGGTGGCGGCGCGGGCACGGCTTTGAATGGAAGGCCCAGCGGAGCGGCCGAGCCGGGACGGGGCCCAGCCGGGACGGGGCCGAGCCGGGCGGCGGGCGCGGGCGCGGGGCCTCCGGCGGGCGGCGGGCGGCGGGCGGGGGCGCGTGCGCGCGTGTCGGGGCGGGGTGCGCGGGGTCCACAGTCGGAGGGAGGGAGCCGCGCCCCGCCCCGCCCCGCCGCGCCCCGCCCCGTCCACCGCTTCCTCCGCGGGGCTCGTCGCACGCCGCAGCCCGCCGGGTCCCGGGCATCCCCGCCCGACCCCGAGCCCGACCCCGACCCCGACCCCGAGCCACCCGCCCCCCGGGACTGCGGACCCGGCGAGACCGACCTGCGGCTGCCTCACGGCCCAACTCTGTTTTCCTGCTTCCTCTGCCCCTTGTCCCCCTGCGGACGGGGAATGCAAAACGGCGTCTGCGGCTTCGGCTTCGAGCTGTCGGAAGGAAAACAAAAGCAAGGCTGGGGTCGGGGTGGACTGTCCTTGCGGGTCGCTCGCCCCGCCCGCTATACGCATTATATTTAGGAATATTTTTAATTCGATGCTGAAAGATTAAATGAAGATTTTTTTTTTTTAAAGTTGAGCTTTAGGGATCCCTGGGTGGCGCAGCGGTTTGGCGCCTGCCTTTGGCCCAGGGCGCGATCCTGGAGACCCTGGATCGAGTCCCACATCGGGCTCCCGGTGCATGGAGCCTGCTTCTCCCTCTGCCTGTGTCTCTGCTCTCTCTCTCTCTCTCTCTCTCTCTCTCTCTCTCTCTCTCTGTGTGACTATCATAAATAAATAAAAAAACTAAAAAAAATTTAAAGTTGAGCTTTAAAGCAGCACTTCATTATAGTAACTAAAATGTTGGCGTTCCTCTAATAATGGGCAGGGCACTTTGCAGGTAGTTTCTTTCAAGTCGTAATGATGGTAGAAATAAACCTGGCATTTAATTATTTGTTTACTGTGTGTCAAGCAGCGCGCTAATTGCTGTACTTATGCATTGTTTCCTTTAATCCTTAAAACGATTGGGTAAGGTAGATCATTATTATTATCCTCATTTTATAGACTCAGTAATTCTAAGTTGATTAATGGCAGAACCCAGAAATGAAGTCAGGGGTATCTGACTTTCAAATTCCCTAATAACACATCTTAGGATGTGGGGAGCTGTGCATTCTTATGTGTTGCTGGTAAGAGCAATATAATGTATTTATTCTTAAAAATGCACATATCCTTTCACCCATCAATTTTACTTGTAGAAAATTTCCCAAGGAAATGAGTTATATAACAAATACTTATCTCAAGAGGTGTTCACCATGTTATTTATTTGTAGTTGAGAAAAATCTGGCAACTATCTAAACGTCCAGTTAAAAGAAATTGTTTAGGTGAATTGCGATATAGCCATATAGTCTTGTACTTAATAGCCATTCAAAGTCGTATGGGAAGATGTTTGCCATATACATTTTTATTAACTGAAAAAAGATTCCAAATTATTTTTTTTAAAGTTATGTCTGTTCATTCAACACATAAACATTAAGCTTCTCCCGTGTGCCAGACACTGTTTTAGGCGCTTTGGGATACATCTGTGAACAACACAGATCAAGACTCCTGTTCTTGTGGGGCTTGTAAGAGGAGGCCCCAATCTGTTATTTAGATAGCATGTTAGGCCAAAAAATGCTATGGAAAAAAACCAGCAGAGTAAAAGAAATCAGAAGTCAGGGTGGGGGCTGGACAGTTCTAGTATTTTATAAAATGGTCAGGATGGATCATATTGAAGAGATTTGCGTAAAGACTTGGAAGACACGAGAGATTTAGTGAAGTGTATATCTGGCGAAAGACCATTCCAGGTAGAAAGAACAGCTAGATTAAAGACAAATGGGGGATCCCTGGGTGGCGCAGCGGTTTGGCGCCTGCCTTTGGCCCAGGGCGCGATCCTGGAGACCCGGGATCGAATCCCACATCAGGCTCCCGGTGCATGGAGCCTGCTTCTCCCTCTGCCTATGTCTCTGCCTCTCTCTCTGTGTGTGTGTGTGTGTAACTATCATAAATAAATAAAAAAAAATTAAAAAAAAAAAAAAAGACAAATGGCAAGGAGGCTAAGGTGGCTGAAGCAGAATGATCAAGGTTGCAATGAGGCCAGGTCATAGAAGATCTTGGAGGTCATGTAGTGCTTTGGCTTCTATTCTGGGAGAATAGGGAGCCAGTTAGGGATTCAACACAGAAGTGACATGATCTGACTGACTTTCTAAAAGGATTACACGGGCTGCTGTGTGAAGAATAGACTGCAAGGGGCAGAAGTAGAAGCAGAAGGGTATTTCTGAAATGCAGAAAAGAGAGGTACATGTTCCTCACAGGAGTATGGTTGTAGCAATGTGAGTGGAGAGAAGTAGTTAGACTCTGGATATACTTGAAAGTTGAACCAGTATGATTTCCTAACAGAATGGATAAGGGTTGAGAGTAAACCAGGAAACAAAGATGTCTCCAAGGACCTGAGTATCTAGAAGGATGAAGTTGCCATCAATTTGGATGTTATGGTGGTTTTATAGAATGTCTACAGATTTTTTTGATGCTGTCTCTTCAAGAAGAAGAGCTCGATTTTCTTCCTTTGGAGTGTGGATTGGATTTGATAACTTGCTTCTAATGGATAGAGTATGGTGGAAGTGATGGCGGGTGACTTCGAAGCCAGATCCTAAAAGATACTGTGCCTTGCTCTCTCTTTTGTGGATAACTCACTTTGGGAGAAGGCAGCTGCCACGTTGTGAGGATACTCAAACAGATGTTGAGTAGGCAATTAGATTTATTTCCAGAGTTAGCAAGAGGTCTGTTCTAGAGATAGAAATTTGGAAGCCATCGGCATGTAGGTAGTATTTAAAGCCATGGGACTGAACTCACACAGGAGTGAGTGTATTGTATATATTCTAAAGTATCACCAGCGTCTATTTTTGGGTGGTGAGGTAATTTTAATTTCAAAAATGTTGCTTAGTTATATATATTCTGGTTTTCTACAATGACCAAATATTATTTAACTTTAAGAAGACTTTTAAAAATTGGATGTCTATGAAAAAGGCACCAATAGAGATGTAAAGATACAGGTTTCCTTAAACTATATAAATAGCCATGTGTATAACTTAAGATCTACACTTCATTTTCATAGGCAGTACAGACCTCTGGAAGGTTTCTTGCTGTGCATATCTTTACCACTTCAGACATGAATAAATGAATAAGATAGTTACTGTTTCCATCTTACATAATCATTTGTAGATTTAGACAGCTACATTATGTTATATCAAAAAAAGAAATTATTTTTACTTAGTTTGTCCATTGTCAAAATATAAGTGATTTCCTTTATTTTGCTTTTATAAAAGTAATGCAAGCTTATTAGTTTCTTTTTCTTTTTTGCATTTTCCAGAGAAAGACAGTAAAAGGTATTTAAGATCCCATTGCACAACCCTATCTTTGTTAACTTATTCCCATTTTAAAAATATATATTTGTTTTAGAGAGAGAGAATGAGCAAGCAGGGGGAGGAGCAGAAGGAGAGGGAGAGAATCTCAAGAAGGCTCTGCACCAAGCGTGGAGTTGGGCTCAGGGCTTGCTCTCACCACCCTGAGATCATGACCTGAACTGAAATCAAGAATCAGGCACTTAACCCCCTGAGCCACCCAGGTGCCCCTTATTCCCATTTTTTATGTATTTCCTTGCTTGCATTTTAAATTAACTTTTTAAAACATCATTGAATTCATACTGTGATTATCCAGCTTTTTCACACTCAGCATGATATACTTTTCCTTGTTTTACTCAAGACTTCAAAACCATAATTTAATGTCAGCATGTTTTGTAAAGTGGAGGTCCAGTAGTTAATTTAGCAATTTCCTGATTGTTACGCATTTAGGTTGTTTCCAAATTTTCAACATAAATAATGTTTCAGTCAACATCTTTGTGCAGAAATCCTTTTTTTTTTCTACATACTAGCTTGTCAGAAGTGGAATTATGAAGTGAAAAAGTAAGCGTTTTTAAGATTTCAAGACATATTGCTAAATTAATGTGATTTTCTTTCATTCTAACTACAACTAGAAATTTAAGTTGATTTTAGGTTGGGAGATTGAAGTTGAGACAATTGGCAGTGTAAGAGATGATACAAGTATTGCCTAGTTTAAGAATGTTTTAGTTTTATTTACCATTGTAAATAAATACACATTAGTATGTATGTATATCACCATACACATTAGTATGTATGGTATATCATGCATGGTGTATAATACTGAACGAAGCTAGTGTTTCTTATTCATCTATAATTTTTCCATTTGTAAACAAATAACTGTGTTTAGGTAGTTTGATATCCATTGCTTAATAGTGTAACTTTTAATTATGTTGCATCAGTGTTCTGATTTTATTCCCCACCTTCTTAACTTTGTTAAAGCCTTTACCATGTTAGGTTTTTGGGTGTCTCTCCATCTAGTCTCCATTTCCTCCTGGCTGGCATAACACATTTTGCCTACTCAGTATTATAGCACAGTTTGTAGCTCATAAATGCTCTGAATTATTCATTGTTGGTAGTATATTAACTAATTTCTTGTCAAAGATTTATATTTAGAATCCTATGCAGCATAATTTGCTTCTAGTATGTCATTGTGGGGTGCCTGGATAGGCTCTGTTGGTTAAGCATCTGACTCTTGGTTTTGGCTCAGGTGGCGATCTCAGGGTGGTGGGATTGAGCCCATCGGTAGGCTCTGCACTGAGTGCATTCTGCTTGAGATTCTCTCTCCCTCTGCCCCTCCCCCACCGCCTACCCTGTGCCTGCTCACTGGCGCTCTC